TTCATTATTTTAATGAAATTAAAATACTATGATGTGTTGCTATAAAGTTATCTCAGTCTAGAATGACAGTTGGTTGCAATGGAGTATGTAGTATAACACAGCCATTACAGATAAGATAGCCCTAAACTGATTTTGCATATATATAAACAGCAGGATAAAAAGTATGCTGTGCACTTCAGGTAGTGCTGATATGTGCATGATAGAGACTTTCAAGTACTGGTTGTTGAAAACTTCCCACTTGAGCAACCTGGAGTGAGCATGTCCATGCTGTGCTATTACTACAACTATCACATTGTTTTCAGGCACAATTAAGGATGAATCTTGAGGATGTTTGTCAAAGTTGATTGCGTGGAGGGATTTCTGGTGACTATTTTCTCTGGATACTCTTGTTATTTTCTTGTACGCCTGCCAGCCCCCCAGGTTCTGCCTAGGCCAGGCCACTGACCTCCTCAGTGGGTACTCTTGTTATTTTCTGTCTTACATTCTTGAATGATGCACCCAGGGTTTTGTTTTTGTTTTCCAAGGACGTTTGGACACAAATCATTACTGTAAAAGATTAAAACAGGCCTAAGGATTAACTTATCTTGTCAATTATGAAAAGGAAATGGTTTTCTACATATGCACTACCCTAAATGGAATTACATATGGTTGGAGATGATTTCTGAATCCATGAAATGGACTGGGTTGAAGTTTTGATTAAAATCGTGCTTGTAATTATAATTTATCCTGGCTTAGTGAATACCATTCAAATAGGTAAAAGACTTAGTGTACCAGGTGCTGTATGCTATGTAGACAGTTAAAACTAGAAGTGTAACAGAAAGGGTGCTTTGCGGAGGATAAAAAGCTGTCCTTGATTGTGTGTGTCTTAAAAGCTGATTGCTTAATCTTTGGTCTTGGCTTTCTAGTGCCCGCCAGAAGTATGTCCGACAAGCCTGGCAGAAGGCAGATATAAATACAAAATGGGCAGCCACAAGATGGGCCAAGAAGATTGAAGCCAGAGAAAGAGTAATGACTTGGGGTCATTTGAATTTTGGGCTTTTCTTTTTTAGAGGGTTCAGTATAGTACAAAAGGAATAATGTTAATTTTTTTTTTTTTTAACAGAAAGCTAAGATGACGGACTTTGATCGTTTTAAAGTAATGAAGGCAAAGAAAATGGTAAGTTTTCAGTTCTGTATTCTTGTGCAACTTAGCTTCAGGATGGTAAGGGAGCAGTAGCTAAATCCCATTTTAAGCTGCTGGTCTCTGGGGGTGCTTCATGTGAAAAGGGAGAATTTAGAGTTTTTGTATGTATGTACAATAAGTGCTTTCTTATTGACAATTTTCAGAGGAACAGAATAATCAAGAATGAAGTTAAGAAGCTTCAAAAGGCAGCTCTCCTAAAAGCTTCTCCCAAAAAAGCACCTGCTAAGGGTGCTGCTGCAGTTGCAGCAGCTGCTGCTAAAGTTCCAGCAAAAAAGATGACCACTGCAGGCAAGAAGGCTCCAGCCCAGAAGGTTCCTGCCCA